TATCGATATATTTTTGTCAAATTTTTATGATATCTTCAAACATATATTTTATTCAAAAATAAAAACATCATCGCTTTCTCAAAATCACATAAAGTCATATTATAACATCGACTGAGATAATGACTAAAATAAAATATTTAAATCACGATGTATCTCGCTGCATTGCGCGAGTACGCTTCTAGTTTTATAAAACAAATTTAATAAAAACCTTAAATGCAAGTTCAAAAGCTTAAGATACAACCCAAAATACAGGAATTACTTTCTAGAAACCCAAATTACAACTTAAGTTTCAGATTTGAATCTCTTCGGTTCCCAAAGATTATATTCCCACTCCACTAAAAAGGTTACGTTTTCCAATTCAACAGATTTACACGTGTGTCGAGGTGACTATTAATTTCCAAGGTGTAAGATTTGTTCATGATAAAACACACTGGTTCTTCATTCTTGCTCTCCATTGGTCCTCCATCTCAATCCCAAAATAAGATGGTGTAGAGCAAGATCGATTCTGTCTCAGCCTGACTCATAGGTCGATCTCTGGATTTCTCTTCAAAATAGTCGGTTGTCGTCGTCTGTGGATTTCTTTTCTGTAATCGACTTCGTCTTTCTCCATCTCTCTCACACTCTCCCCTGTACCAGGTGCAATCTCTCGATTTCTCTTTTTGGTAGTCGATCGATTATCTCCATCTCTCTCACACTTTACGTTTGACCTAATTTTCTCACTTTGTAGTGTGTATCATTGTGTAATCATTACTAATATGTTTTTGGTGCAATTTGTCATCCGTAGATTTTCATCTGCAATTTATCAAAGGGATTGATTCATATACATTGATCGATTCCTTTCAAAGGGATTTAACGATGTAAGTTTTTCTCGAACCTTCTACACACTATTTAATACTTAGAATTTATATCTGTTTGGTGTGTTTTCTTGATACGTTGTTTAGTAGGAAGTATGTGGTTAAAGAAAATTTTCCTTATTATAATCATGTCTCTCCAGGTATGATACTCCATAGCTTTTCATTTTTTTAATTTCTTTAATCTCTGCCTGGGTTTGATTTTTTGATTTCCTTAACTTCAACTTGAAATCTTTCCAAGGAAAACTTGCAACTGGTATGGGGAATCCTAAAGTGCACCTAAAGGCATTAAGAAAAAGGAGAACTGGTAGATTCAGCATGAATATTGTGTGGTAGAGAACAAATGAATCTTGATCATTCATGTATCGGAGTTTCTTATTAATAGGTAGAAAATTACATTACATCATAGAAAATGCAACACCAAGACTTTGAAACCTCTCCTGGCCAGCAGTGTCCCATATCTAACCAATTAATCAGCCAAAGATATCGTGACTCTATATCAACATAACTAATATCAAATTAGTGGTCAGTTATAGGAATCCTACTTGTATTGTAACAATATTGTCATCTATCTGTAACTCCTTGGTCACAAAATCAGCTCTAATTGTTGCTTTATATTGTTGACTGAATCTCTTATGTACATATCTTTAGAAGCAATAAAAGATCCACGCTTAAACAATTCAAAGTCACATACCAGTAATTTCAATATCTAAATCTCTAAGGGGGAAGGAAGAGGAGGAGAAAGAAGAAGCCACATGCGTAGGGCTCCTCCCTGCAGGTTGTGTAACAGATAAACATAGGCTTAGATGGAAAAAATTGATCTTGTCCAAAACATAACCTTGTGTAACTGGATATGCAGTTAATGCTCCGATCTGAGTTACATTTAGATCAAATTCTAGCAGTTGCATTCAGCAGCAGGGTGGTGTTATTAATCAATATGTGACTGACATCCATATAGGCTACAACACAAGTAGAGGAGGTATTGTTGCTTGGCTTGGTCAAAAGTATTATCTTCACTCTAAAGGCAATATAAGGTAGATTGTACCCCTACTTGAAAAGTTTTGATATTTTATTCCCCTTGTCAATATTTCTGTGAAGTATGATATGGCCAAAGAGCAATTCCAAATGAACTATCATATGCTACCTAGAACACACATGGCACTGGTTTCAGGAAATAACAAATAGATGCAAACTGCAATTGACTCCTTATCAATACATAAGGAATCTTAACCATGGAGAAGGTTGGGCTAATTCCAAGGTCTAACTATTAAAGTTCCCATTTTTCATATAGGACATATTGGTTGTGAAGCCACATGTTTCTCTCAATTGCTTGCAAAGTTAAGAGTTTATGGTGATGTTGTTATTAGGGAGACGGTTGGATGATGACAATCTTCATCTTATCATCTTGGATATGATGTTGCCGAAGGTCTCTTTTTTCTCTTACACTTGGACAGATCATTCTTGATATGTATTCTAATTTGTTTGGCCTTTATTTTTGCTATATACATATATATGAATAGGTAAGTGAGAAAGACATTTGAAAAACTTTAACATGTTTGATGATTACAACTGTTTTTTGATTGTTATTGTTATTACTGAAAGTTGGAAAAAAGAAAGAAAGAAGAGAGGTTGGTGTTGGTCGCCATCCAGGGAACTCCAAAAATTTATGTACAGAAAAGTGGGGGATGGATTTCTTGATCACTTCAAGATGGAGAAGAAGAAGAGATCTTTTTTTGATCTGTTTCTGCTGTTGTGGGAAACACAAATTCATAAATTCATACTAAGTCCAAGATTTATTTCTTGATCACTTTATTATGTATGTGGATTGTGGGAAACACAAATTCATACTCAAGTCCAGAAATATACCTCACACTGTTAGCCATCCCATCACCTGTTGATCTGTGCATAATCTGTTTCCTGGTATGTATTATATGTTTTGATAGTGTAATAGAACCTTCTTCATGTTAATTGTGTATTTGTGTTATAGATTAACAATTTCCTTCCACCGGTTCTTAGTTTTTAAGTGAAAAGTCTGTTGAAATGGTTCTTATAAACACGGAACCTATTGAAATGGGTTTTTTTGATCGAAGTGATTTGGTGTCTAAATCCTAGATTTCTATTGATTTCCCATTTATTTACTACATAACGTAATTAATTGGTTGACTCTTCAGGTTGATCTTGCTCATTCGTTAGCTATTCATGATCAGCTAACACAAACCAATCGACGATGCTGCAACTGCCATGCTCAGACTGAAACACCGTCTAACAGAATATTTTGTATTTTCCAAAATATTGTTATTTAATTGTTTTTTTATGTTTCTGCCCTTCATGCGCCCAACAATTGCGAATTAACTTGTTAGGACAATAAGGTAAAAGATTTTTGGGTGTATGTTTCAGCTTTGAACCAAACTTTTTAAATGGCTTAGTCTCAATACTGACTTCACCAGCTGAACCACAAGTATCTTGTGCTGAATCAAGTTGTGGAAATCCAGAAAGTAAAAGATCTTTATCCACATATGGCACAGGACCATGAGAAGCATACTCCGATAAAGCTGAGAGTATAACATTCTTTCTTGTGGGTTTTGTTTAAGATCTCTATGTATAAAGATCTGCACACACTGTACTACTATTGTGGTTAGCAAGACCGCAAGAATAAATCTATGGCTAAACCTATCTAAGCATAAAAGCACTAAACCTATGGCTGTATTGTAGTCTTTTATGTATTCTTTTATATTTGAAGGGATGTAAGTACCTAGTGAATGTACTTGATTACTTGTATGGTTTCTGTAGAACCAAGAATGTCATGTTATTAGAATTATGTGTATAGTAAATTCATGTTTATCTTGACTCTATGGGTTCCAATATGCTTAAACTCTGCTTTATGCCCACACTGTTAGCAAAGTTAAAAGGAACAATGCTACAATTTCTTTGGAAGTTTAGTTACTGGTTTGTATCTGGTTGGAGTTTGGAAGTTGAAGTCTGCAAAGCTAAAAGGGAAAATATAATCTTTGAATCTCTGGTTACTGATACACAAGTGTATGGACAGGATTTGAAGGTTCTATGCATAACAGTGGCTTTTTACCATAACTACATGGCTTGGATTTCTGTTTTGTGGAAATTAAACTGTCAACATTTGGCTTGGGTGTTGGTATGGATAATTTGGAATGGAGAGGTAGATTCCAATACTATGGTTCCTGCAAAGTAAACAACAATTTGTATGTGGTTTTGGAGTCTACTTGACAAGTTGAAACTTGGTGTAGATTCTTATGTGAACAATTGATTGGCTGGTTCCCTCTTGAAATGGATTGGTTTTGAAAATAGTGGCATCTTGAATAGGCCTCTATTAATTGCATTTCCTAAACATTTTTTAGGAAGATGCTTTTATTTATGCCCATTTTTTTTTGTAATTCCTTTTCAATTCAATTAAAAAATTCTGGGGGTTCTGTTCTCCTTTTCAAAAAAAACCACCCCTTAGATTAGTTGATCTAATTCAGTTGTTTATTGTATACGAATTTTTATAACAGACATAATGCAACTAGATTTACACAGTCCATCTGTAGCAATGAAGGATTAAATTGGTTTGGTTTTATCTAATATTTTGATCAATAATGACCGAATAATTTCAACCATTTTTATACACCAAGATGCAAAATAATATTACATAAAATAAGTTTGTTTTGTAGTTTAATAGTAATTAGATTAGATTGGATTATGTTTAAATAATATTTTATTTTAACAATTTTTCGTCAATCGACTCCAATTAAAACCATAGCTCTTATTTATTGAAAATGTATTAATACGTAAAGCTTAACGGGTCATTTACTAAACGTTTATCTGATAAGCGTTTACCATATCATTTACCTTACCGAATGAACATTACAAGGACTAATAATCTTACCCGATAAGAGTGATAAAGATAGAGAGTCTTATCCGATAAGAGTGATGAGAAAGATAAAAAGTCTTACCTAGTAAAAGCGACGATAAGGACGTAGATTCTTACTTGGTAAGTGACAGTGACGACTCGGTATAGATGGAGGGTTTTACTCTGTAAACGCTTACCTGGTAAATTGTTACATATGATACCATTTTGATGGACTACAATCTTACCCATTAAAGTAAGGTATATTGTTAAATCTTAGCGGTAAGCATTTAGGTAAACGACCTCCTAAGTGTAAATATTTCATAATCGTTTATAAAGCAAATTTAACAAATGTTTTAAAAGTCTTAAAATACTAAATGATCAAGACACTCTTTATATCACTTTTTCACTATTTCACTCCCTCCTCTCCTCACATACACTCACCCCCTCACATACACTTACCATCTCACAATCCATTTTTTTAAAATTATAATTTTGAATTTACATTTTATATCCTTATAATTAGTTAATTAATTTACTTTACGTCCTTTACTTTTAAATGTTTCATTTTAAACTTTTATCAAATTAATATACATAATCGTATATCAATTAAAACATGTTTAAAAAATATATTTTTATTTTAACAAGCTACCATTATAATCGTTTCGTTAATACCTTCGAAATGAGTCCAATATTGAATAGTTTTTGACTTAATTATATTATTATATATTATATATAATGTGAAAAAATATTTTTAATATTTACGATTTATATTTTTATAGTTATTTATTTATATATATACTATATATTTTGGGGTTAGGCTATCCAAATTGCACTGTATAATATGTTCTTGGGTTTTTTTGAAATATATATATATATATATATATATATATACATGTATTAATTCAACCTTAATCTGAGTTTATGGACAAGAAAGAGAGTAAGCAATTGAAATTTCATTCTAAAACTCATCTTTTTTGGTCTTTTCATTTAAAACTCAAGTTTCTTGTTCTTTGCTCTTGGTATAAATCGAACACATTTGTGGAGTCGTTTAAATATGTTGAATTTTAAATATATTGGATTTTAAACTGTCATACAATTTTTTTTCATTGATAGTCTGTAATTGGAACCATAACTCTTATTTATTCAAATTGTATTAATATGTAAAGACCAAGTGTAACATATATCATCGTTAAATCTTATCTTATAAAACCAGTGGAACTTCAAAATCGTTAAAATTCATGGCTCCCGCCGCATTTCACGGGTACACAACTAGTTCTATAATCGTTTATCAGAGAAGAACCTTTTTTTAATTATTTATCGAGTAAAATTTATGGTTTTTACTATATTTTTTATTGGGTAAGATTTTCGGTTCTTATCATTTTTTCTTGATAAGTATTTATTCGATAAAAGCTCAACAATGGCCCTTTAGACTTTTTGAATCATTATCTATACTATATTATAAAACATTTGACAAAAACTCTTAAAACTCATTTTTTATGCATGAAATATTGTGCGTTAATGCATATTACTTAAAATTTAATATTACAAGTAAATTGTGCATAAGTACAACTTATTAAAGCTCAATTTTTGAATTCGTATAACTAACTACACATAAACACAATCAAATATAGGATAAACTTCTTATTTTAAATATAAAAAATCTAAATTATAATTATGATAATTATTGAGTTATAACATAATTATTAGTTTTATAAAAAATTTATTGTTAAGCCAAAAATAAATTACTTTACTATTTGACCTAAATTAAATTATAATTTTAAATCGAATTAAAGAAATTGTACAAAAAAAACAAAAACTTTTAAATAGTTAATTTGATATTAATATCGATATATTTTTTCAAATTTATTTTTATTTAAAAGTAAAAACATTATCTTTCTCAAAACCACATAAACCGTATTATATCAACAAAGACAAAAAAAAAAACAAAAAAAAATTAAAATGAAGATGTATGTCGCTGCATTGCGCGAGTATCATTGTAGTATTCATTTATGCATGTTCAAGCTTATTAATAGCATATTCGTCCAAAAACCATTTAGACTCGGGTTTTGTTTACCTAAACACTTATCTTGTAAGCACTTAATAAAAGTTTAGTCCACCAACACTGTATTGTATGTAACAATTTACCTGGTAAGTGTTAACCGGGTAAAAGTCGTCACCTTCATTTACGGGGTAAGACTCTCGGTCTTTGTCTTTGCTCTTACAGTAAGATTTTGGTCATTACCATATTCATCCGTTAAAGTAATATGACTTGATAACTACTTACCAAGTAAGTATTTGATAAACGACCCCTCAGGCTCAACATCTTAATAAGATAAGCTTTTGTCTTTTAAAACATATAGATTGCAATATTTGGCTACACAGGTTGTCATGTCTATTTCATAGTAAAAGATACTAAGCAAGTATATAAACAAATTATTGTCAATCATCGTAAAGGTTTTACAATATCTTACATTATTGGATAACTGAAAATAAAATATTTAAGTGAGCTGAAATATTGAGTGTTGAGATTTTAATATGCTTTAAAATATTGAAACTAAACACCTCTGTCTAGTACAACGGCATACTTAAAAGGTCAGAAAACGACCAAGTTAAACCGAAAACGCTACATATTCGATTTACCTTTGTTGCTTTATAAATTAATGGCCCTTGTGATACACACTACGAGTTAGCTTTATAAAGAGGGCATTACTGATGCTAATGTGCTTTCAAAGGTGAAATATTACCATCTAATGTATTGTACATTTCTGCTTATCGTTTTGTTTAGGTATTAGAGGTCATCATAAAATAGAGCGAAATTGTTAGGTCACCAATGATTTGCTTATGACCTCCAAATCCACTTCTAAGTTCCTTAGTTTACATTTGATTTTTAAATATGTAACTGTTCTTTTGTAATAGTTTGGTTTATGCTCAAATTGTTCGGCAAATCGAAGACTAGCCGATATCAAGAGGAAATGTGTGTTGTCGATGGGGATCAGAAGATACACTTACCGAACTAACATCAAACTCTCACATGTCGATTAGTTGGTTGGCTGATAGTCATCCTGACTATTGGCCGATCAACCTGAGAATTACACAATTTACTAATTAAGTTGAAAAACGTACATTTCTGACTCACTTAAACATAATTAATCCATTGTTTTTTTTTATTTATAGCATCTTGAAGCATGGAACACGTATCTGTTCCGCAAGAGGCAACCGACAGACCGTTGGACCATCATGCGGCCATGTTGGATACCAAGTTTAGAGAACCCAATACTTGGCCCTGTGGACCAAAATGTTTACGACAATGGTACACTAGAGTCATTTTCATCATAGCGTGGCATCGAACGGGTCGGTAGAATCACGTAACAATTTTTTGTGATGTATAGAAAATAATTTATTTATCAATTTTTATTTGCAACTTATTTTTTCAAGTATTCATCCTAATAAACGTACCAAATGCCCATTATACTACTTTTTTCTCGATATTGCTTGCATCCCGCATTGAATGATGGAATGAAAGTGGCAAGAGGAAGATTGCTACAAAAAAAATGACTAAAAATGGAACAAATATATGTTTCTCGGATCTTGGTCTTTTGCTTAAGATCAAATATAGTACATGTTTTTAGTTTAACATATATGTCCCGAATCTTAGGTTTTTTGTTTAGATCAAGTATATTATATGGTTTTAGTTTGATATCTAATATGTGATTTTGTCACCTTACTTGGTATTTTATTTTTTATATGGGAATGCCCATTATACTACTTGGTGATATAGTTATTTATCCGTCGTCTTGGTGTTACTACTATCAAGGCTTGACACACCTCTATAATTTACAATTCAAATATTATAGAATGTTACGGTAAAATGTAGTATTTGTTTTTATCAGTTTAATATCTGATATGTGGGTCATCGACCCCCCTTGATATTAATTTTATTGTTTTATGGGAGAACATCCATTATCTTAGTTTGGTGATGTAGTTCTTCATGCATCATCTTGAGCTTTCACTACTGTAGATAGAACTTACACAATGCTCAAATTTTCACTAATATTATAGAATGTATTTTTCACAACTTCAAATGAGATTTCAATTAAATTTGTTGTAAAATTTAACATCGTGACTTTGTCACCTTAGAAGAGATTTCAATTAAAACTGTGATTTCAAGTTAAATAAACTATTAACATTAGTCAAACATTTGTAGAGTACTTTGTAACATCGTTTTCTAGCATGGTTAGAGAACCTAAATTAACATATGGTTTTAAGATTGTTGTCAATTTCTCTTAAAAACTTTTAATGTTAATGAGTAGTTGTCATACACATTTTTCTAAAATTTGTTTAGAAGAGGACTTCAAATTTTAGTCAATAACATTTCTTTTGAAGATGCTATTATCGTCACCTGCAACACTAATTTATTAAATAAGTTGATACAATGGTACTACCGTATAGGGCTGTAAACGAACTAAACGTTCAGCGAACCGTTCGTGAATCATTCGGCGGGAAGTTCGTTTATGTTCGTTTATTTAATAAATGAACGAACGTGAACAATTTTTTTCGTTCGTTTAGTTAAACGAACGAACATGAACAAGAGTTTTGTTCGTTCATTTATGTTTGTGTATGTTCGTTCATTTAGCGTTCGTTTACGTTCGTTTATATTCGTTCGTTTATGTTCGTTTATATATCAAATTTAATATATAATCTTTTATTTATTTACTTTGAATTCAAATAATATTTATTTATGTTCGTTTAGCCCATTCATTTATGTTCGTTCGTTTAACATGTTAACGAACGAACATAAACGAACACGAACACACCTGATTTCTAAACAAACGAACACGAACATAAAGATTTTCGTTCGTTTACCTTTCGTGTTCGTTTATTTGTTCGGTTAAGTTAAACGAACGAACATGAACAATCATCCGTTCGTGTTCGTTCGGTTCGTTTACCGTGGTAGGCCCCAACGGCGGACCAAACATTTTTGCCAAGTACTTGCATTTTTAAGGTGATTAAAGACCCACAAATTTTCCAACATATTTTATACGAATTCCACCATTTAAGGATTATTATTTTTTTCCAGTTTTTGGTTGATTTTCACATATTTTTTCAATTGTTTTGGTTGATTTGGAGAGATTTTTTTCGGGTTTTTGTTGAGGTCCTTGTATTTTCTAATATCTTGGAGTAACCCATCAAGTTTAGTGTGGGCACCTTTTATACTCAAAAAGGTTTTACTTACGAAATCAATTAAGAGGGTGCACAGGACCCGGTTGGAGCCTTCATAGGTCACTTCCAATACCATGTACCAACCAAATTTGCATATATGGTATGATACTACCAACCGATTGTAAAGTAATACTAACAAAATTAGTATCAATTAAATTGGTATGGTTGGTATCGATATTGGTTGGTTTCGTCTTGTATAAAATTGACACCCATAACATTTAACATTTATTGTTTTTTATAATAAAAAATAAAAAGTTCAGAAAACCCAACGAACCATCCCATTTTGAATGATTAAGTCCATAAACTATTTTTTAATGAAAAAAATGTTAAACTTTCTCATTTTAAATGATCAAATCAATAAACTTTTTTTAATATAATAAAACAACCGAACTTTTAAAAACTGATTACTTACATCATTTAACTCTAAAAAAAAACTACATATAACCGACTAAAAATGTTTTAAAGTAAAACTACTTGTAACCTCTTAAAAATATATCAAAAAAGGGAGATCTATAGCAAGGACTAACAATGTGATAACATATATGAAAAAGGGACAACGATGAGGCGACAAGAAGTGGCCAAAGAAGTGATATCGATGTTTGTGAGGACCTTGAGAGACGTCAGGTTTAAAAACAATAAAAATAATTTATGTTTTTTTTAACTTTAAAATCTTTTTAGTTAGTTATAAATAGTTTTTTTTTGGTTAAGAAGATGTGACCAATTTTAAAAAGTTTGATAATTTATGTATTATAAAAAAAATATTCAGAGACCTAATTATTTAAAATGAAAAAGTTTAATAATTATTTATTTAAAAAAAAAGTTTAATAGTTTTTTATTTAGAAAAATAATCATCAATGAATTTTATTTCTCCAACTAAAAAAAACAAGGGCATAAGAGTAAATATAAAGCAAAGACGGGGGCAATTACTGAAGAATCTAAAGTAGGAGAGCCTTCGTCAGCAAGCATGAGAGAGAGAGAGACGCTAACCCCAAACCTTGGATAATCGGGAACCTTCAAATGACACGTGCCGAAATTTCTGGTAAGCTCGCGAGCCACGAATGGGTACAGCTCATCGACATGGGCATCCAGATATTTATTTAAAATATTCAACAAAATTAATTAATAATATCGAAATATCTAGAGAAGGCTATAAATATCCCCAAAACCTACCCATATCATCTTTCTGAATCTCCCTCTGTCAGAAAACTTGTTCCCCAATCCCACAGAAAAATATCTCAGCAACTGTTTCTCTACCTCTGATTCATCTTCAAAGGCATCAAGATCGATAAATCTTCAGTGGAGTAGAGCTTGATTAGATATTGATTTGCGGCGCATGTCGTCGGGGTTTACTGAGAGGTATGTTCTTGTTTGATTTGATTTGATTTGATTTTGTTATTTTGTGCGAAAATGGTTGCATTTGAATTGAATTGATGTTCTTGAAGACTTAGAACTAGGGTTTTATTCTGGATTTGTGCAATTTGAGTATGCAAATTGTTGATTTGCAATTCTTGATAGTCTTTTTGAAACACGCTGAAAGTTTAATGGGGGTTTATTAGAAACTAGAGTCTGCATTTCATTACGATGGGCTAAAATAATTCTATACTTAGTTCCTGATGGATTTTAGGATACTTGGGCACCAAGAAAATCTCAGTTTGACTGTTTGACCTCTCTCCTCTGTGCTTTGTCCTGTGGATTTATATGCGATTCTTATTATATGAAAACTGTTACAGATTAGAATGTTGAGCTAAATAGCCCTGATTATTCGATGGCTAATTCTCTTGATTTTGTGTGGGTTTTCTCCATTCCTATTTTGTTCAATGCTTAATTTTTCTTTATTTTCAGAAATACTGAAATGGGTCTTCTTAATCAAACTTCCAACACATCTTCCTTGCCAATGGATTACCCTAGGAAGAGGAAAACAAGAAGCAGACGTGACGCACCAAAAAACGTGGCTGCAACTCTTGCCAAATGGATTGAATATAACAACATCGACTCATCCGATGGAAAACCGAAAACACGAAAAGCTCCTGCCAAAGGGTCGAAAAAGGGTTGCATGAAAGGGAAAGGAGGACCCGACAACTCTAGGTGCAACTTTAGAGGTGTGAGGCAAAGAACCTGGGGTAAATGGGTAGCCGAGATTCGGGAACCCAACAGGGGTCGCAGGTTATGGCTAGGGACTTTTGGGTCTGCCGTTGAAGCTGCATTAGCTTACGATGAAGCTGCCCGAGCCATGTATGGCCCGTCTGCACGACTCAATCTACCAAACTGCCGCTCGATGGATGATTATTATATGCTGCTGGCTAACCCTACTTCTAGCTGCGACTCCACCACCACTTGTGACTACTCTGGAGGCGGTGCAGCTCATAATTCCAATGTGGCCTCGGATGGTTTTGAGGAGAGCACACAGTGTGGTCTGCAAGTTGAACATGAACCAGTTGTGGTTAAAGAAGAACCTATTGAGGAGAAGAAAGATGTGGGGTTTTGCATTGGTGATGGTAATTACTTGCAGAGCTTTTCTGGGGATGAAATGATTGATATGGATGAGCTCCTTGGGATCGTGGATCAAACGGACGACTTTGTCTCCAATTCAAACCACGAGCCAGGATCTGGGAATGCTACTGATGAGCCATGGTTCGATAATAAACCAGATCCTTGTGATTATAGTCTTGATTTTCTGAAGCCAGGACGGCCTGAAGATTGTAGTTTTATGTTAGAGGAGTTGGGTCTGGGTTTGGATCCTGAGTAAGGTCTGTAAGCGGTTTATAGTATTATCAGAGAGCTAGAAAACCTTAGTGTAACAGTATTTGGTGTTTTCGTATAAGGGATCTTTTTACTAACCCTTGTTTAAACCAATTCTCTGCAGGTTTTGAATGCAGGAGAATTGGTTTTTTTGTATAGTGTTCAATGGACCGTAAATAACATGCTTACTCGTACTGTACATATCAAGATGTAAGCTTTCAACTGTTCTTTGAGTTGACGCATTTCAACCATAGTTTTCTGTGTTGCATATGGGGTAAGATTGGTTCATCTTATCCGATGCAAGTTGGTTTCTTTTGGCGTGATTGTTTTTTCTGGTCCGGGACTGGTTAAGGGCTTAAGGCCTGCCGGTCTCGGTCTGGAACCAGGATCGCGAACCTGTTGCCTGTTGGCATAGGAACTGATCTTTGAAGTAAATGTAGTATCTATATTTTTCAAATTGTCTATACAAGTTTTCCGAGTAAATGTGATGATTAGAAATGTAGTTTAAAGCTAAATACTTGGTATAATATTTTTAGTAAAAAAGGTTTTAAAAAGTGGATTTTTTAAGCTAGATGGGCTCAAGACTGGATTCGGATTTTGGAATAGGTTACGAAGGACCAAGACAGATTGTCGGGCGTGAGATTTATCTTAGTTTTTTACTTCCGGATAGAAAGACCCGTTTACATTCAAACCACTTTAGGCGTGCAAACGAGCAGGATAGATATGAATGGGGGTTTGTCCGTTTCGTCCATTTAACTTAACTAAACAAATGAATGAACACGAGGGGTGAACGGATGAAATTTTTTGTGTTCATGTTCGTGTTCGATTATGCTTGTTCGTTAAGATGTTAAACGAACGTAAAAGAATGGACATAGACAAATGAACGAGAAGTAACCATCATTATTATCATATTTCATTTCATTCATCAAAAATAAAATAATAAAATAAAAAATCGAGTAATTTAGAAAGGATAAAAAATTCTAACTTTTTAATTTTTAATTAATGATTACATTATTAATGTTATGAATGATATATATGGAGAGGGTTCATGTGATTTACGAAAGTATGAGAAAAACTTATTAACCTTATTGTGATAACAATAAAAATTAAATTTTTTAAATTAAAAATGAGATAAAAAAACAATTCAAAAAATTTTAAGAGACAAAAAGGTAATATTGGAATTCAAAGTGATAAAATTTTAAAAACACGATCGTATTAAACTTGATAATCTAGGATAATATTATAGGCTATTATGGTTATCTCTTATTTCAACGCGATCTGGTGTGATGTAGGTGTGATTATCACAAAAAATTCACTCAGTTAGGGTTAACTTATGAAATCGACTACATGATTCGTTGTGATATGAGTGTGATAATCAATCTCATCAAGGATTACAATAACATACGATTTCAAACTAAGGTGTTTATCACACGTGATAAACATCAAAATTTGGAATACAAAACTACTATAACATTAAATTCAAATCAACATTTACCCAATAAGTATAAATCGATTAAAAATATTGACATTCACAATTCCATTTACCTTTTATCACATGTGATAAAAAAAATCCATAGCATTATAGTCTTGATGATAACACAACCGATTTAGAAAAAAAAATGAAAATATTATTGTTATCACATTATTATCATCATCAACAAAACTATCTTCAGATAATTTCAAATTGGGATGTTTATCACATGTGATAAACATCAAAATAAACATCAAAATTCTCAATTACTAACCTACAACATTCAAATCCTCCATTTTAGATCGAATTTTTTTTTTGGATATTATAAGCCGATAGGAAGAAAATGATAGCAGAAAGTGAAAAGGACGAAAGTGATATAGTGAACGTGATCAATCCCAACCAACTTGAACATGATCAATTCCAACGAAAAAGGATGAGATAATTTTAATTAATTAAAATAAAATAAAAATTATAAAAAGTATCTAATTACATTACTGTTTTTATTGACTTATTTGTATTTAATATAATTTAAATTATTGATTAAAAAAATTTGAGGTTAGTATGTTGTTATCGCATTCTCGTATATCACAGAGGTTATCGTTTGAACCTCCACATATATATATATATATATATATATACACACACACACACACAGAGAGAAAGAGTGTGCGCTAGATTCTTTTGTTAACTCAATTTTTAGTGTTAACTATGTTAACCTAGTGCACCAATAGGATTCATTGTTTGTGATAGATTTTAATAATATATTGGTTATTGGATGAGGGATATAATGGTAAATTATATATACACGTAAGTTATATTTTGTATTAATTAATGAGCGGTTACAATTTGATAGTTGCTTGATTGTAGGGACTATGATCTATTATTCAAATTACACAATGTATTATCATTAAATAAAATCAATGATGAAATTGTTAATCTAAGTAAACAAATCACAAGTAAACATTTTTGAAAATATGAATATTAATATACATATTGGGTAAATTGTTAATCCGAGTGAACAAATCACAAGTAAACATTTTTGAAACATATTGTTAATGTTGTTTCTGGTGACATGGAAGGTATGAAGGAAAATATCACGAAATCACCGGTGAACATATTTACATAAGTGCATAATGTTTATTGTTTGTTAATATATGGAAAAGGTGGAATAGCCAAGTGAACTTTTGTGAATATATGTGAACATTGTTCAGATATTAATGAACATAATCACATTGTTCATAAGTGAACCCATGTTCATATAGGTGGAAATGTCCATGTGTATATTAACGTTCATAATGATGGAGATTGTTTTTAATGTTAATGAGTAGTTGTCACTCACATTTGTCTAAATTTTTTTAGAATAGTACTTCAAATTTAGTCTATAACATTTCTTTTGAAGATGATATTATCGCTACCGCACAACGCGCGGTTAGAAAACTAGTTTTATATAAAAGGGAGGCATGCACTATGTAGTTTGTCTTCTTCGTTCATAATGTCTTTCCCTCTGTTCACTTGAAAAACAATAAATGCTAATGTTCCGTGAACCGTGTCTTAGTGCCTCTATTTCAACAATGAAAAGTGTAATAATAGAAATTGAATTAATCTAGATTTGATCAAATATGTAATGTGTACCTTGTTATTCTTTGTAGACTGTGTGTGCACTTATCCAGATAAAAGATGATATGGTGGAAAGAACTCATCAGTTTACAAGAACCCATCAAAATCAAAATCTCAAACCCATTACTTTACAAGAACCAATCTCGAGCAAGATATGGTACGATGCAAAATCAAAATCAAAATCAAAAGCGAGAAGGAGTTAGGATTTCGTACCTTACCGTGATTTCCATTTTCTTGAATCGAATGCCTTGCATAATCAAAGAAACAAGAATTACTTGATGAGGATTTGAAGAAATGGAGTAGAATAAGGAAGGTAGATCATGAATATGAGAACAAGAATCGAACAGAGCGTAAATCTACTGATGATGGTTTTGGAATTGGGGAAGTTAGTTTACTAGTGGTTTGGGATGTGGTCGTGGGGTAAGAGAAAATTGGGGGGAGTGGGCTTACAGGGGGGAGGACATAGCTTAACAAGTTATACACAATGCATTAGATGAGGTACCTCTTAAATTTCAACATGTAACTGTTTTATGTGCTTATATATATAGTATGGATATATTTTTTTTTAAGTAAATTTATAATTTATATGTATACACACACACACATTATATTATAACTTAAACTAATATATACATATATATTATGTATTATAATTTGGTCCCAATGTAAAAAATCTAGGAAAAACATAATTATCATCGTACACGGTCGAGCCCCAATTATAAGGTGAGGTTGTGCATGAATACCCGAAAGTTTTATTCACGAAATAACACTATGTCCACCTGTGTTTGATCATAAGGTGCGGTCGTGTTAGAACACTAAAAAAATTGTTTTGCACAGTAACATTACACACGTTCATGTTTAAAGATAAGATGCGGTGGTACAAAAAACTCCAAAACTTTCTATTTTACATTTCCTTGTTTTGTGTTACAATTTCAACAATATAACTATAAATTTAATTAACTAATATCAAACTTAAGATGTGCTTGGGTCTACATTCTAATAATAGTTTTATTATATTAAATGGTCAAAAAAGTGGTGTAATATGTATCTTATTTAATATCAGAATCAGATCAAATCATACATTGAATGTAAAAAATAAGTCTTAATATTAATTTATGTCATTATATGAGGAAAAAAGTAGTAGGCAAGATCATCTCTAAGGGTGTAAATGATGCAAGTTGAGCTCGAGTATCACTATACTCGACTTGAACTCGAAACCCAATTTTCAAGTTCGAACTCGACTCGAAAACTCGCGAGTAGTAAAAATCAAAGTTTGACTCGAACTCGATAATTATTTCTCAAGGTCGAACTCGAATCAAACTCGAACTGTAACTCGAATCAAGCTTGAACTCGAACTCGAATCAAGTTTGAACCAAGCTCACTCATTCAAATTTATAAAAGTTTGGTATTTTTCTCTTATAAATTTTAAAACTTAAAGGTGTTCTCCACTTCTCCTAGTTTTTATAAAACTAAAGGATCAACTTCAAACTTCATCATAAGAAGAACAAAGTTTGAAATTCCATTAACCTCCCTCTCTTTTTATAACATCTTTCTTCCTTTACCATCTTTCTTCCAATGCGAGACAATTTCACTAACTATTTTTATAGTTTTTCTTTGTCTTTTTTTTAATTGTGATTTTAATAAAAAAATAGTTGATTAATATTTAATATTGAAAAATGCATCATTTTGTTTAAATATCTAAAAATATAAGTCATTTTTATTATTTATATTTTACAAATTTTATCATAAAAAATTGATTATATTTTAAAATTAATTATATATAAAAAAATCGAGTAACTCACGAGTTTTTCGAGTTGAGTATTGCGTAGCTTGACTCGACTCGTTAATATGTCGAGTCGAGTTTGAGTGTTGACCGAGTCGATTTCAAATAGCTCGCGAGTTGTCTCGTATCATTTACACCCCTAATAATCTCTAACAAATTCTCTCAAATAAAAAAAACAAAAATCTTAAGCATATTTTTCTCCAACAAAATTTTAAAATGTTATATTTAACAATATATGAAAATACATACATGTAGCTGATCAAAATGAGATAATCAAACGTAGTTGGTGGGGTGTTTGGACATAATTTTGCTGTTTTAAATATGTAATAATAAAGATAATAAATTATTGAATATTTAATAATATTTTAATAATTTTATATAAATTGTGATAATTATTTCCCCGAAACCCGTACTCAGGTTACAGTGGCCGGACCCACACGAACGTCTACACATCATAGTCAGTAAATGGGACG